ACCGGCTACGCCTACGACAGACCGGTTTACCACAGCCTGAAAAGACCTCGATCCGGAGCTTCCAACTTGGCCCGTCAGGATACCGCGTTTCTTCCTAACTCGCGAGAACGGGTACGCGCACTCGATACCCCGCACGTTTTTTTTTTTTTTTTTTTTTCACCAACCGTGGATACGAACGCGATGACCGTGACTCTGAACCGATCCCATACTCTCGGGAGAGTCGTATCGGTTCGTACTCCCTAAGTCCTGACTTAGGGCGAAATTTCATTGCCAATTATTATTTTTCGAATTCGTATCGTATCGTTTCTCTCGAGCAGATCGACGATGGTGGATCGAGATTTTTTTTTTTTTTTTTTTTTTTTGCTAGACGTATCGGTAGACCCCACTTACTCAAATTGGTGTATCGATCGATCGATCGATCGATCGATTGAAAATTGCCTCGTTGCAATTTTTTTTCGAATTTTCCACCGTTCTACGGAAAGAGGGAAAAAGATACGAAACAGATGATTAAAATTTAACCCCCGGCCAAAGTTCTCGAAAGCAAAGTTTCGAGATCCTTTTGCTCGCCGAGTTTGGAGCAAAGATCCTCGGACAAAAATTGCGGTACGGTGAGACCGGCTTTCGCCCAGAAACCTTTATTAACGAAGGGGGAGTGGTCTGAGAACGGGCCAATCAGAAAGCGCCACTTTCAACCCTCATTGGCCAGGACGTAAATCGATTTATCACTCAACTCGTCCACGGTAGACAGGGGAAACACGCCCTTAAGGCCGTCCGACTTAAGGTCTACTCTCCTCGGATACCTTGCGCGACGCTCAACACCGCCAATTCCACTTGAGAAGGATGGTGGTGGTGTTGGTGGCGTTGATGGTGGTGGTGGTGGATGGTGCGGCGGGGGTGGCGCGATCGTAAGAACACAGAAAGGGTGTGGAAACTCGTGATCTTCGCCGGCCAGCTTCCCGATAGTGTCGGAGGGAATTTTTTCAAAAGACAACTGTGCCCCGTGGTCGGATCCCAACTCTCAAAATTGAGCTATTTTTCGAAAACGAGCCTTTTCCTTCTCTCTCTCTCTCTCGTTTTCCTTCTCACTCCATTCTTTAAATTCTTTTCTTTCTATAAATTTTGTTATTTAATTTTGCATCAAAGGATTCAGAGGATTATTGCGAATAAGAGAAAGACAAGCGCACCTGAATGCGAATTTGCGATTCCTCTTTTATTCAAATCTTATGATAATGAGATTTTCAATAATGAGAATCTTTGATAACGACTAGATCTGTAACTTTGATTGTAAACTCGTTACTCGATAATTTTCTAGGCCGATGGAATATCAAGAGAGGAAGGATTGAAAAGATTGGACGTGATAGAAACGCGAGGAGAACTCGAAAAAAATTGTATTCCAAGAATTGATAAAGTGTAACGGAGGACACGTGTACATTTACGTTAGTCTAACGTTTGTCAGCAATAACTGCAAAGAAGCGTAATACCGATGCTGAGATGGTCTTTTTATCGGCGAAAAACTCGCGCATCTTCTTCGAGGGCGAGAAGCAAAAAGCGGAGCGAGAAAGAGAAAGGTTTTGTGCTCGAAGCTTTGTTTCGGTAAAATATCTCGGAGTTCTTGCGTTCATCTCTTCAGCTAAGGAGAGGTATAAGAACGGCCTCTTCGTTTCTAGTCTCATTCGTTTGTTCTTTATATTAAGAAATTATTGTTCGTTTTCAGCCGTTCTTATGGAACGGATCTTGGCACAAAAATTACAATGATTACTTTGATCTTGAACATCACGTACAAATATTTGCAAAGACAGATTGAAAAGGATTATTTAATTATATAAATTTTCTTTTTCGATCGATCTTTTGATTAATTTTTCAAATCGTTTAAATTCTTCCCATAACAAAATGATATCATCATTGCTATTGCTATACATCATATTTGCTTCACATTTATCTCTATACTACTCTCTTTGTTCCTATTAAGCATTTACATTTTACAATCATTACATTATCACTTCTTTTTTTTATCATATTTTAAATATATTTCGAAGAATGAAATTAAAATTTTCAATTTACATTTTTTACGGAATTTCTTCTCTACGGATCTCGAGCGTAGCATTCAGAAAATATTCTAAAAAGAGAAAACTGAAACAAGATCTAGAAATTAAATTTCGAAATTGGAAATACAACCCGATCGTGTGGCACGCATCATCGCTCGCGCAAACACGGTTACCCAACGCGTTGAACAGCGTTGAGGCTCGAAAATCCGGTGGATCCCTGAAATTGCAATTACTCCGTGTCGCCAGGGGAATTTCGAAGGATTTGAAAAAAATGCTTAAACTCGAGTATATATCGCGAACGAAGGCGGCGAAGGAGGGGGGCCCTCGTTTGCCACCGCACTTCAACGACTTCAGAATCGAGCACTTGCTTTACTTCTTAACTTAACCGATTATTGTACTTCTAAATTCAGCGCATTGTGCCGGTGTCGCGCGAGGGTCGTCGCACACGTATCACTCCCGTGCAGAGGCGAAAAATATCTTCATCGGGTCAGATCGCGAACACTCCCCCCGTGTTTAAGCCCCCTTCAACGGGATTCGCACGCGTGGCTACACGCTCCAACAATTTTTTCTTCTCTTTTTACTTTTTCCACAAGAGGATCGAATAAGTTGGCAACGCGTCACGATAATTTGCAATATTCACGTCGTTGGAAAATCCAGAGTTCGCGCGCGAGATTCGACGCGAAACTTCTTCTTCCCCCGTGCCGCTCTTCCCCCCTCGTCGACGCGTTTGCCTCGTTTAAAAATCTCCAAATTGTGAGTTTGTCGCTCGTTAATGTTCGCCAACTTGGGAAAAATATTCTTGGGGATACAGATGTCGCGTAATTGAGCCTCGAAACTCGTAATAAAGTGCACAAGTATATATTATTATTTCGTAACAAGTATTATTTCGATCGTTGTTATTCGAGGCGAAGAAAGAAGAAGGCGGGATGAATTGGAAAGAGAAAAATAGAGCGCGCGAATTGATCGAATTCCTTTTGTTAACGCTGTTATTAACGGGCGTTTATTTCGTGGGCCGCGCTATTTACAATTAGTCGATGCGCTATGCAACGATCCTAGTTCCGGATAACTAGACCTCAAACCGCTCTCGTTCCCCGTAACGTGTACGCGTTCCGCGCAGGAACCGGGCTGCCTCAACTCACGCTCTGTTAATTTATCTAATTACGATAGTAGTCGAGATCATTTATCCCCGCACGAGAGGAAATTTGAGACGAGCGCCGCCGGGAAATATGAAATTAGTCGCAATGCTTTAGGAACCTCGAAATTTCGTGATATTACGATGTAACCGAAGCTCGAAATCTCTCGTTTCGTGGATCGTGGCGCGGGAACGGGGCACGAGCAGCAATTTTACAAAATTCATCGATTCGATGTTTCTGAAAAAAAAAAAGAAAAAGAAAAAAAAAAGAAACTTTACCTTCGATTCTTATTCGAACATGTTACTCCTTCACGCGTTCGACTACGAGAACAAAAAGAAAGAAAGAAAGAAAGAAAAATTAAACGCGAGAGATTCTAATAGGAAATCACGCGAATTAATAATCGCGTGTAATTTTATTCAAAACTTTCAACGGTTCTGATATATCGGTTGCTGCGATACTCGGTTGGATGCCCGAACAATTGCTCGATTCGAGGAGCGAGACGAGTCGAGCCCGATCGATGTATAATGCCGGTAAATTAATTTCTGAAACCCGGTTTCCTTCCTAGAAGAGGCCCACTTCTAACATCGGGAAACGGCCGTGCCCTTCGTTCGGCCGCGTTCAACCTACCTGCAAACAAACGAGCGAAAGGATCTCATTGCTCCGCCAATCCTCTTTTCGCCAACATTTTCGCCGAGTCCTGCAAAATTGTTAATCCAAAGCTTTTCCAATTACACGGCCCGTCCTCGTTCTCTCTGCGTCCGCTTCTCCTTCGAACTGCCGCTCTCTCCTTTCGCC